AACCCCCATAACCCCTAAGATTCTATAACCCCCATAACCCCTAAGATCCTATAACCCCCATAACCCCTAAGATTCTATAACCCCCATAACCCCAAACCCCCATGACCCCATAACCCCCATAACCCCTAAGATCCTATAACCCCGGTAACCCCAAACCCCTATGACCCCCATAACCCCTAAAATCATATAACCCCCATAACCCCAAACCCCCATGTACCCCATAACCCCTAAGATCCTACAACCCCTATGACCCCCATAACCCCAAACCCCTATGACCCCCATAACCCCAAACCCCCATAACCCCTAAGATTCTATAAACCCCATAACCCCATGACCCCATAACCCCTAAGACCCCCATAATCCCTAAAACCGTATAACCCCCATGATCCCTATCACACCCATGATCCCCATAACCCCAAACCCCCATGACCCCATAGGGGGTCAAACCCTGACTGACCCCTGTGAGCTCCACTCACCGTGTACCTGGCCTTCCAAACCGGAACCTGACAGGACAAGATGTTCAGGTACTTCCGCGGCTGCCGGTAATCCCAGAACTACACAGAGGGAACAATTAGTCACCAAGACCTGATCGATAACCTGATCGATAACCTGATCAACAGCCTGATCAATAACCTGATCAACAGCCTGATCAATAACCTGATCATCTGATCGGAACAAATCAGCTCTAGAAACCAGTTTTCAGCGTGCACTTCAAGAGTGTGCACTTGAGGTGTGGAGTGTGCATGTGAGATCTGCACGTAATATGTGGCAGGTGCACGTAATGTGTGAAGTGTGCACGTGAGGTGCGGAGTGCACATGACCGGTGGCGTGCACGTGGGGGCGTGCACGTGGGGCCCCTCACCCTGACGGAGTTGTCCTGGCTGGAGGTGGCCAGCACCCACTCGCTGTCCGGGTGCCAGTCCAGGCCGTGGATCTTGGACAGGTGGGCCGCCATGTACTCCACCGCCGTGCTGGGTTTCTGCCGGGGGGCACGCGCACAGCCTGGGTCAGAACCGGTTCTGGTGGACCCCGCCCCGGTTCCGGTGGACCCGGTTCTGGGGGAACTCACCCTTTTGTCCCAGATCCGGACGTCCCCGTCGTGGCTGGACGCCAGCAGGTTCTGGTTCCTCCGGTTCCACTTCACCTGGGAGGCTCCGGCTGACACACATAACACAGGGTTCAGTTGGGTTCTGTTCGGTTCAGGTTCTGTTCAGGTTCTGTTTAGGCCCGGTTCAGTCTGGGAGCCGCGGTGCATTCGGGGACTCACCGACAGCAGACAGCGCCACCGTGGGCTTCCGGGTGTCTCTGAGGGGTCAGACGGGACAGAGTCAGCAGCTGGTTCTGCTGGGTTCTGGTTCCGATTGGTTCTGCTGTATACTGGTTCTACAATACTCTGGTTCTGATGGTTCAACTGGTTCTGATGTAATCTGGTTCTGTTGGGTTCTACTGGACTCTGGTTTACCAGACTCTGGTTCTGGTGGTTAATCCTGTTCTGATGGGTTCTGCATGAATCTGGTTCTGCTGGATTCTGGTTCTGTTGGGTTCTGGTTCTGCCTGACTCTGGGTCTGCTGGGTTCTGCTGGACTCTAATTCTGTTGGATTCTACTGGACTCTGATTCTGTTGGGTTCTGGTTCTGCCTGGCTCTGGCTCTGTAGGGTTCTACTGGACTCTGGTTCTGCTGGGTTCTACTGGACTCTGGTTTACCAGACTCTGGTTCTGGTGGTTAATCTGGTTCTTATGGGTTCTGCATGAATCTGGTTCTGATGGGTTCCGCGTGAATCTGGTTCTGCTGGATTCTGGTTCTGTTGGGTTCTGCTTCTGCCTGACTCTGGTTCTGCTGGGTTCTGCTGGACTCTGATTCTGTTGGATTCTACTGGACTCTGATTCTGTTGGGTTCTGCCTGACTCGGGTTCTGCTGGACTGTGGTTCTGGTGGGTTCTGGTTCTGTGGGGTTCTGCTGGACTGCGTGGTGCGTTCACTGCCTGTGGGTCAAACTCACCTGGTGTCCCAGATGTAGATGTATGTGTCCACCGAGCTGGTGACCAGGAGCTCTGGGTGGAACCAGGACCAGTCCAGGTCACTGGGGACAGAACACAGTTAGGACCAGGACCAGAACCAGGGCCAGGACCAGGACTCAGTGACCTACCTGATGACCCGGGTGTGGCCCAGCAGGGAGGTGTGGGCGTCTCCACAGCCGCCCCTCCAGGAGTACAGGTCCACCCTCTGGTTACTCTGGAACCACACACATCAGGACCAGGACCAGGGACAGAACCACTGGACCAGGACCAGCACCAGGACCAGCACCGGGACCAGCACCAGTACCAGCACCAGGACCAGCACCAGGACTAGCACCAGCCAGGTCCAGACCAGGTCCAGGTCCAGGTCCAGGTCTAGGTCAAGGTCCAGGTCCAGAACCAGGACCAGAACCGGGTCCAGAGACTCACCGAGGCGGCGAACAGGTGGGCCTCCGAGCGGTGCGGGTTCCACTGGACTGTCCCCACATCCCACTTGCTGTGACGCCCGATCTTCCGGGCGGTCTCTGACGGGGCCTCCAGGTCCACCATGTACAGGAAGCGGCGGCTGGAGGGGCACAGGATCCGGTTCAGGTCTGGTCTGGGTTCTGGTCAGGTCTGGGTCCTGGTCTGGTTTCTGGTCAGGTTTCTGGTGTGGTTTGGTCTGGTTTCTGATATTAGTTCTGGGTTCTGGGTTCAGATCTGGTTTGTGGTCTGGGTTCAGGTCTGATTTCTAGTCTGTTTTTTGGTTTGTGGTCTGGTTTCTGGGTTCAGTTCTGGGTTCAGGTCTTACCCGGACAGCACGGCGTTGGCGCCCAGGCAGTCCACTGACATGGCTGTAGCCTGGAGCACAAGGAGACCCCAGTTATGAAACCCTGTCTGTCACGACTAAAAATCAATCTGCATCAATTCAACGGCTGAAATTGCATCAATTTTAACCAATTCAACGTCTTAAACTCAATCTGAACCGATTCAATGCACAAAACTGCATCAATCTTCACCAATTCAATGCCTCAAATTTCATCTGCACCGATTCAACGACTCAAACTGCATCATTCTGCACTCATTGAACGCCTCAGATCGCATCAATCGGCATCGATTCAACACATCAAACCGTATAGATCTGTACTGATTCAATGCATCAATCCATATTAATCTGCATCAATTCAACACCTCAAAGTGCATCAATCTGAACCAATTCAGCGCCTTAAACTCAATCTGATCGATTGATTGCCTAAACTGCATCCATCTGCACCGATTCAACGACTCAAACTTCATCTGAACTGATTCATTGCCTCAAACTGCAACAATGTGCACCTATTCAACGCCTCAGACCGCATCAATCTGAATTGATTCAACACCTCAAACCGCATAAATCCGTACCGATGCAATGCATCAATCTGCATCAATCTGAATTGATTCAACACCTCAAACTTTATCTGCACCAATTCAACACCTCAAACTGCATCAATCTGAACCGATTCAACGTCTCAAATTTCATCTGCACCGATTCAACAGCTCAAACTGCATCTGAACCGATTCAAAGCATCAATCTGAACCGATTCAAAGCATCAATCTGCATAGATTCATCACCTCAAACTGCATTGAAACCGATTCAACGCCTCAAACTTTATCTGAATCGATTCAATGCATCAATATGCACCGATTCAACGCCTCAAACTACATCAATCTGCACCGATTCAACGCCTCAAACAGCATAAATTTGAACCGATTCAACGCCTCAAACAGCATCAATCTAAACTGATTCAACGACTCAAACTTCATCTGCACAGATTCAACGCCTAAAACTTCATCTGAACCAATTCAATGCATCAATCTGAACCGATTCAACGCCTCAAACCGCATCAATCTCCACCGATTCAACGCCTCAAACTTCCTCTGAACCGATTCAATGCATCAATGTCCACCGATTCAACACCTCAAACTGCATCAATCTGAACCGATTCAACGTCTCAAATTTCATCTGCACCGATTCAACAGCTCAAACTGCATCTGAACCGATTCAAAGCATCAATCTGAACCGATTCAAAGCATCAATCTGCACCGATTCATCACCTCAAACTGCATTGAAACCTATTCAACGCCTCAAACTTTACCTGAATCGATTCCATGCATCAATATGCACCGATTGAATGCCTCAAACTTCCTCTGAACCGATTCAATGCATCAATGTCCACCGATTCAACGCCTCAAACTGCATCAATCTGAACCATTCAACGTCTCAAATTTCATCTGCACCGATTCAACGGCTCAAACTGCATCTGAACCGATTCAAAGCATCAATCTGAACCGATTCAAAGCATCAATCTGTACCGATTCATCACCTCAAACTGCATTGAAACCGATTCAACGCCTCAAACTTTATTTGTACCGATTCAATGCATCAATATGCACCGATTCAACGCCTCAAACTACATTAATCTGCACCGATTCAATGCCTCAAACAGCATCAATTTGAACCGATTCAACGCCTTAAACTGCATCAATCTAAACTGATTCAACGACTCAAACTTCATCTGCACAGATTCAACGCCTAAAACTTCATCTGAACCAATTCAATGCATCAATCTGAACCGATTCAACGCCTCAAACTTCCTCTGAACCGATTCAATCCTTCAATGTCCACCGATTCAACGCCTCAGATGAAGTGTTTTCACCTGGGCATCCCGAAACTCCACCACCACATTCTCGCTGCTCCAGCGTGCCGCCATCTTCCGCGGCTGCTACCGTCAACAAACACCACGTGACCCTCATGACATCACGGGGCGTTCGCTGTCATCCTGTGAAAAACTCTCAGAAAACGTGATGAAACGCGTTTCATCACGTCCTGCCAACGTGATCCGAAAGAGGTTATTTAGGATTAATAACAAAATTTTTAAGATTAAAAAACGAGACTTCAGATGTTGTTTCATTATTTATGTTTGTACAGGATTTTGTTCCAGAACAATCCTCCGCAGAACTCCACTGTCCGACGCCACAGTGCTGCAAAGCAATCTGCGTGTCACGAGGCTGCTTCCTGCCTCCGGATTGGTCGGTCCGGCAGCAGAGCAACATGGCGCCTGCCCGAGTGGAACATGTTGTCGCAGACGCTGGAGCGTTTCTGAAAAAAGCTCCTCTCCAGGTGAGGGTTCCGGTCCGGACGGGGGACAGAACGGGGTCTGGACAGGGTCCGCGGTTCGGGACGGTGTTCGCGGGGTCTGTGGGGTCCGGACGGGACTTCATGTGGGTCTCTGGCTGGTCTGAGGTCTTTAAAGGGTCTCTGGTCTCTAGTGGGTCTCTAGGGGATCTTAGTGGGTCTCTAGTGTGTCTCCAGAGGGTCTTTGGTCTTCAGTGGGTCTCTGGTCTCTAGTGGGTCTCATGTGGGTCTCTGGACGGGGTCCTGATGGGGTCCGCGGGTCCGGACGGGACCTCAGGTGGGTCTCTGGCTGGTCTCTAGTGGGTGTCTGGTCTCTAGTGGGTCTCATGTGGTTCTCTAGTGGGTGTCTGGCCTTTTGTGGGTCTCGTGGTTCTCAAGTGGGTCTCTAGTGGGTCTCTGGTTTATAAGGGTCTCATGTGGGTCTCTGGACGGGGCCCTGATTGGGTCCGCGGGTTCGCACGGGACCTCATGTGGGTCTCTGGCTGGTCCGTAGTGGGTCTCACGTGGGTCTCTGGTCTCTAGTGGGTCTTATGTTGGTTCTGTTAGGTTCCCCCAACTCTTTACCGGGAAAAAGGGGTTCTGCTGTGGTTCTGCTGGGGTTCGGTTCTGATAACGAGATTCGTTACAGATGCTTGAATGAATCCTGCCTCAGATCTGTGGTCCAAACCCAAAGCGGGTCCAGAACTCGACCCGGAACCGTTCTGATGATCCAACAGAACCAGAACCAGCCGGAGCCTCAGGTTTTGCTTGGAGGTGGTTCTGGTTCTGAGTGGGATGCTGGAGTGGATGGGCAGAGCAGCCAGGAGGAGGGGGGGTGGGTGGGGCTTAGGCTGAGGGTGGGCGGGGCTTAGAGATCATGCTGGCTGGGCTTTTTCACCAGGTGGGCGGGGCTTTGGTAGCATCTCGGCAGGGCTTTGGCACGAGGTGGGCGGGGCTTTGGTCGAATCTGGGCCGGGCTTTGTCACCAGGTGGGCGGGGCTTTGAACCAGGTGGGCGGGGCTTTGACCGTGGACTGTGTTTCAGGACATCGGCACCAACATCTACACCCTGAAGGATGTCGTGGACGAGATCAGAGACAAGCCCACCAGGAGGAGCCTGGCCTTCCTGCCCTACCAGCTCCAACTCAAGGACCCCCACCCCGAGCACGTCCGCCATGGTAACCAGGGACCAGGGACCAGGGACTGGAGACCGGAGACCAGCCAGAGACCAGAGCCCAGCTGCCTGTGGTTGAAGCGGAAGTTCTGGTTCTGGTTCTGGTCCCTGTTTTCTGAGCCCTCTTGTTCTCTCTTCCAGTGACAGAGTTCTCCAAGAAGACCGGAGACTATCCCAGTCTCTCGGCCACCGACATCAGGGTCCTGGCTCTGACGTACCAGCTGGAGCTGGAGCACGTGGGGTCCCAGCACCTGAGGCCCGAGCCGGACCTGAAGGTTCTGATGGTTTCTGGTTCTGATGGGTCTGGTTCTGGTTCTGGTTCTGGCTCTGACCTTCTCTCTGCTGCAGGTGAACGTCCAGAGCACCCGGCGCCACCCGGAGGCCCCGGTCAACGTCCCGGGATTCCACTTCCCCTCCAAGGTACTGAGGCCAGAGCCCCCCCCCTAAACCCCCCAGACCTGCTGGGTCCCCCCAAGCCCCATAGCCCCCCCC